AGAGAGAGAAGGGATGTAGCTCAATGGTAGAGCACCCCCGGGTTCAATCCCCGGTACTAGCAAAAGGGAAAAAAAAAAGTTTATGCAGCAGAAGGCAATATTACAACAAACTCAATGACTGAATTAGAGGAAGACTTTAAAAGAAACTTTAATTTGCTTATTTTAGGAAACGGGGTACAGGGAATAAATGTAAATCAAGGAAAACATCAATCCACAAAGATGGGAGCTTGAAAAAAGGTACAAGTGGTAGGTATATAGAGCAGTGGGAAAATCTAAGAAATGTTTAGGAAACAAAATTAAAACAATGATTGACTTGTGCAGTAAAAGAGAAAAAAAAATCAAGAAAACCTGAGGCACTGGCTTAGGTAAGTGAAAAGGTATCAATGACAATAAAGGAGTAAGAATTTAAAATACTCAATTCTCTGTTCTACCACTTATACAAGCGGTCAGGTCTTTAAGCACTGAACCTAAACTTCCCCATCTGTACTAAAAGGCTGTGTTGACTATCTCACCAAGTTTTGAAACAGTGAGACACTATATAAAGCTAAAATACTTTCATTTTTATTTCTATTGTGATTTTTTGAAAACTAAGGTTACTTTCAATCTTTTTTACCCCAAACCCAGTGGTCTTGATTACTCTTCCTACATTTCAATCCTGCTCAATATTTTCCCCTAGTTTTCTAGGATATCATATGACTCTTCACTTTAGAAAATATGTATGGATAGATTGTAACTAACGAACCTTCCAAAAATACTGCCACTTCCCAATTGGTTTGGGGAAGGGGTTTTGTTTTTTGGGTTTTTCTGACAGGGGGCAGGATGCAGTGCTGGGGGTTGAACTCAGGGCCCTGTGCACGCTGGCAAGCACTCTGCCACTGGGTTACCTCCCCTGATAAGTATTTTAATAGCTCATAAATATGCATATAAACCCATCCTGATTTCTTACAGTAGCCTCAGAATTCCAAAATTCAGGGCTGGGGATATAGTTCAGTTGGTAGAGTGCTTGCCTGGAATGCACAAGACCCTGGGTTCAATCCCTAGCACCATATTTAAAAAAAAAAAAAAAAAGAATTCCAATATTCATTCTCAACCTAACTCTTCAATTCTTTCTCTCACTTTTACACTGAAATCTTTAATAGAAAATCGTTTGGGCCTGTTCATTAAACCAATTAGGCCTATTACCTATGTGGGCTTTATTAAGACTTCCTGCTTACTGTCTTCTCCTTATATAAAATACCCATCATTCAATCTGTGAAGAAAAATTCTCGGTGATGGTCTTACAACTATAACTGCACATCTTGTTCTTGCAATGGCCCTTGAATTAATGCTGTATCACTCAATTAGTAATGATGGAAACACCAGTTGTTTTATGTATGCTCCCCACATACTGTAGAAATCATGAAAGATTTTACTACAACTGGTGATGTTTATTAAAAGTCAGTACAGGATAAAAATAACATGTAGGAGCTGGGGTTGTGGCTCAGTGACAGAGCTCTCGCCTAGCATGCGTGAGGCACGGGGTTCAATCCTCGGCACCACATAAAAATAAAATAAAGGTTATTATGTCCACCTACAACTAAAAAAACGAATATTTTTTTAAAATAATAATATGTAATAAATGTATCTCTCATTTTACCATACAAATCAAGTCATTGTTGATTTAGGAATAAAAA